CCCTTAGTTCTCCATCCATCCAACGTCAGCTTCTCCCTCCCTCTTCTTATCCAACTTGCCTCCAATCAATATTTTAAATGTCATACCAGACAATCATACCTGACGAGTCACGATATGCGATTCAACCGATATTACTGTCAATTTTACCTGTTTTAATAAAAATTAATTTAATTTATTGTTATAAATAATATATAATATTACATTTAATAAATACTAAAATATGATTGAAATCTAGTAATAATGTAAATGTATTAAAACTAAGTGTAGAACTTTATGTAAAAATAATAATAACCACAATAAGCCTTATGATGGGTATTAACCTTAGGGTGTGTTTGGTTCAATGGAGGGAAAGGAAGGGGAGGGATTTTAATGGAGGGGAAGGGAGGGGAGGGGAGGTGATGTAAAATAATTTTACCTTGTTTGGAGGGATTATTCAGGAGGGGAAGTGAGGGAAAATAGTAAACCTTGTTTGGTTCAAAAATTAAAGGAAGGGAAAATAAAATTAAAATGACAAACTTACGTTTAATGAAATAAGATAAAAAATAAAAAACAATTGAAAGTAGGGACTAAATGGTATTTTCACACCATCTTAACACATTTTCCTTCCAAATCCCTCCAATTTTGGAGGGGAGGTAAAGTGAGGGAGGGGAGGGAAATTTACTTAAAATTTTCCTCTCCTTCCCCTCCTAATTTTTCAACCAAACAAGAGAAAACTAAAATTTTCCATCCCCTCTCCTCCCCTCCCCTCCAAATCCCTCGAACCAAACACTACCTTAGGGTGGAGTACTGTGGGTGTCCTATGAATTCCCGATGCATTGTCGCCAGACCACTGGTGATGTAAGACCCACAAAAGGGCATTGATGGTTCCGACCGTCAACAATATTGTTATAAAATATAATGTAAATGAAAGAATCATCTACAGAACAACCATAATGAAAAATAAGTCGGTGTTGACGGCCATGTGAATTATTAGATTGAAATAAACAAAATATATTTATGATACACATTATTATAAATTATTAAAAGAAAAAATGATTTTGTCAAATACGTAACTAGAAGAAAATAGTAAATTTTATAATTTTAAAACATTACCACTACATTCTTTTAAAATTAAGTATCAATTATAATATTTGTCACAATTTTCGACTTTAATATATTGTAATAAGTTATGAGTAAGAAAATAGAGATTTTTTTTTGTATTATTTATTGATAATGTTTAAATATATAAACTTTCATATTCCTCAATTCTAAACAAAACATGAATTATAAAATGACACTTATTTTATAACAGATCAAATACATATATAAATCATATATTTAACTATATTATATATATATATATATTATAAAAAGAAGATACAAAATAATATTACTATTCAAAATAATTTTTACACTGACCGATTTTTTTTCCCTAATTTAATTTATACAATTTATCATTATTGTCATCGGCTACAAGTTTAAACAAATAGACATAGCTAGTTTTAGCTGGTTGCGGCCCTTCCGATTTATCTGCCGAAGAAGTTCAAGCCCAAGCCCAAACTTTGTACAACAATTTTTATTTTCTAACATATAAATATATCCGTTTCTCTCACATTCATCTCCTCCATAATATTTTGTACTTATAAATCTGTTGATTGTTATATAATTACACCGTGCAATTTCTAACTAGGGAAGAGCCTACTCAAAATCTGTCTACCCAAAAAAAAAAACTGAAAAACTTACCACAAGAAAAGCTTTACCTTTCACAACACGGGAGAAAGAACTCAAATTTCCCACTTAACTACAAAGCAAACCTGCAACCCGTTCCATCCAGAAATCGATCTGTATGCCAACCTTTGGCCTGAAGCTTGGAAATAAAGGGCGAAAACATTTCACTCATCCTCTCATAAGCCTCTTGCAAGCAACTTTCACGGTTTTCTTTAAAAGAATTTTCAGTCTCGGCAGCATATGCAGCTACTAACCACCCCCTCAAAGCATCCTCACCGGTTGCATTGCGCTCGAGTATCATGTCTGTCCATTTTTTCCCGCGCTTTAGAATAAATTTTTCGCCGGGAAAATTTTCTTTGACTTTGTTTAGCTCGGACGGCTTAAAAACTTTGCTTAGAGGCCTTCCCACTTTTACGCGCCCGCCTTCTTCTATTAGGCGTCCGGGGAATAAGAGGTCTTCTTGATATCGTAAATCGGCAGGGCTAGATATCTGACCACTCTGGATCAAATTATCACACGAGTTATAAGTGGGAAAATTAATAAGAGTTAATTAAAAATATCGCCACCAAGGCATATCATTCATAAAGTAGAAATGTACTTTTAGAATTTGTTTCTCTTTTACAATTGCTCCTTCAGGTGTGAAATTTGCAATACTCAGGGGTGGTAATGTTAGTTATCATGATTGATTGATAAACTAAACTATGGCTTACAGTTGCTTATTTATATGGTTATTACCTTACAAAATTCTGCAACAATCAGTGCAGTTCGTTGTGGATTTAGAGTGTTGACGGGAGTTGCACGCATTTCCTCCCTCACACAATAAATATGCACCAAGGACAATAAAGGTCCAACCACAAGCTGGAAAATGATCGGCATTAGCATTAGCAGAGAAAATTGTCTCCCATGATTAAAAAAGCGATAAAGAATCTAGATAGTGAAACATATTTATATTAGCCGCACTTCTGGAGTTATAGCTAAAGATAATACCAGTTATCCTCATAATTATATTTAATCCCCAGCAAATCTCATTTGAGTCTCAAAAGTACGAAAAAACGTCATAAGAGAAGTCAAAGGCGTACAAACACAAGAACTACCCTCATATTATCCCCGCGAAAGAAACTGATATATCACTTTTCTCCCTCAGGCACAAGATGCATTTATTGTGGAAAAGAAGACAAAAAAAAGAAAAAAGAGCAGAATGGAGGGAGACCTAGCTTATTCATCAATACTGACAAAAAACTGGATAGAGAATTTAGACGATCATCACTCCAATTAAATTCAGATTCGAAAGTAATAGTACCTTCCCCTGAGTAGATGAACAAACAGTAGACGCTAACTGAATCCCAGCTCCTATTCCAAGAACATTAAACAGAGTAGAAATTGCTTCTCCTTTTGCAAAAAGGTCGCTCAGGTTTCCTTCTTTGGCAAAGGCAGAATATATGGGCAGCCTTGTTGCTCTTGCTGCAACAACTGCCATACCCTGAGAAATAATGACATCCTTCACGATTAATATGGAAAGCTAAATGGTTTTGTAGACTACAGATCGACGCAAAAGCAAATAATTTATCTCACCTTAGCAAAATTGCCAAGACCAGCCATCTCAAGAAACAAGTGTGGGCATAAAGGAGAAATTATTTCCAAACCGGTACCAAAGTCGTAAAGAACATCAGCTGCAAGCCGAATGAGATATTACTTTCAAACACAGTAGACGATCAAGATGATGTAAACTATTAAATAGCAAGATACTGAATTACAGACCCAAAACCCTCCAACTCTTAGGTTCCGAGTCCATTCTTGCACCCAAATTGCTACATATGAGTTTTCCAACATGCTGCATGCCATCTTTTAATATCTGCACTACATCAACACATTATGACCCAGCCCATAACAGAAAAAAATCTCACATCCATACAAATACAGAAAAATGTTTCCAGTTATTAAATCGTTAGTACCCAGCTAACTGCAGTAGCCTGTGCCGGTGTGGGCCGCAAGCCTGCAGCAAATAGAAGTGACTGAAAGGGAATAAGTTACTGAAAAGCATCCCTGTATATGGCGGTGCATATATTAAGTTGTGTTCAGTAAAAGGTACATAAACAATAAATAGAACAAAAATAATTTTCAGAAGACCTGAGTTGATAATACAGATAGCGTTGCACTGGAGAAGTGCTGCAAGGCTCGGAATTGAGTGTATCTGAGATATCCCTCGTTCACACTGTAGATGGAAGACAGCGAAAATTCAAAACTACATGTGGGACCCAGCTCCTGTTCAGTCAAAATATATGAGTGCCTGAATTTGCCACTTACCTATAAGGATAACCTGATGGAAAGAACTTGTTGAGAAAGGACTCGACCATCTTTTGGGAAGTAGGTCTTGTGTCATTAACTATTGTCACCTGAAGTCAATTGAAAAACAAAAGGTTGAATTGATGTTTAACAGGATATTAGACAGAACTGTTAAGGACAAAATTTTGGCTACAATAGCCAGAAAATTCTACAAGGAACACAATGCGTGTAAGCTATAAATCGAGTTCATTCGACACACATTCACACATCTCAGCTAAATAAACAATAGTGAAAATAGTTTCTAGTGGATCTATCAGATTGCTTGCACCCTTTACCTTCATCAACATCTCCAAATTCAAGTTACACAAGAATAATCATCTACCGTGATGAAATAAACACCTACAGCCAGAACTTAGTACCTTCGAGCACCCACATTTTACATTTTACATTTACATTTTTAGTCAATTCAACGGATAGCTCAAGAACATTTAACAACCGACAAAAACAAACTNACACAAACAAATAGGAAGAGGAAACAACCAGAGCCATTGCTCCACAAAGAGAATAAATCAAGAGGCAAGCAAACTCATGCTTCAACAACCAAAAGCTAAAATATATAAGTTGCACAATGCATACCAAGTGTTTGTACCAATGCCCGAGTATGATTACAAACGGAAAAAGGGACTTACGGAGAGTTGGCCGTCGGGCTCGAACTGAAAGTGGCGGGCCACAGAATCGGAGGTCTCGACCCAGTGAACCGGCGCCGGCGGCGGATCATTTGGTTCCTTCTTTTTCATCTGAATTATTTCCTGTAAGGATTGATATATCAATAGCAGTCGAGTTGACGCACAAGAACAGGTGTATGGAAAGTCGAAATCAAAGGGAAAATATTTTCAGAGAGAGAGAGACCAAAATGTTCATGGATAAGAGCTGAAAGGTCGGCGTCCGCCGGCGGAGTCGGGTTTTGCGGTGACAGCTATAACGAACTTTCAGATGAATAATAATCTGAAATATATTGTCACTATGACACACGTGTAGAGAGTGCTTCGAAAAACATATTTATATAATAAAAAGTTAGTACATAAAATATTTATGTGATACACGTATTAACAAATGTATCAGTACATTTTTTTGTAAACAAACCAAATAATTTCGGTAAATTACATTCAAATCAAGTGATATTCCATACATAATTTATGCATATTTAATTAATTTTTTGTAAAAAACAATTTTGTATGTAAAAACCAATTTATCCCATCTTTTTCTTTATTAGTTTATCAGATCTATTATGAAATAACATGCAATTACCTATTTCTTATCGGTATCCTCTCGCCGATTTTCTATCATTTTTTTTAATTAATAGACTTAATGTTTTTATTTAAATTCAAGTTTTTTATATTTCAAACACAATATACAACACATTTCATATCCATTTTCTTTTTTAATAAAATCGGATAAAATTTTTGGTTGATGTCAATCCTAATACATTTAGAAAAATAAATTCAAATAAAATTAAAATTCGAATGCAAATCATTTCAAATTTGGTCATCTTTTTATTTTTTTAATGAATTAATTTTGAAAGCATATTCAGTGCATATATGCTACGATTTTTTTCAAGTAATAGTGATGCACTCCCAATACAACTCTTTTAAGCAACTATTGATACACATTAATTAAAAAATGTTTGCTACTAATTATCTTCCGTAAAATGATCATCTCTCTATTTCCTAAAAAAATCCGCGTGAATCTCTAAAAATTGACATATTTTTAGGAAATTCAAATCAATCGATATCACATAAAAGTTGACAGATTTTTAGGTTATGAGAATTCAAATCAATTCAAATTTTCAATCCAATTAGTTGGGAAAATTAAATTTAAATCAATTTAATGTCACTCCTTGATTACATTATTATATATCTGAAAAATCTATTTTCAAATTCTTTTTGATATTTTTCTTAAATTCGAATTTATAGGTAGATGGCACATGCACAATCCCTATATAAACACCACATTGGTGTGATCATTGAACCAAACATCGACATGAAATAATGCATTTCTCAGAAAACAAACTTTTGAATCAATTTTTCCATCCCCATTAAATATGACTTTGGTATTTGGAAAAATCAAAGATATAAAAGAACTAATAGACCAATAATCAAGCTACGCATCATTATAATGTTCCAACGCATTAAAGACGAGGGCAATTATCGAAACGTTCTTAAGATTATATTTCACGATTCTGAGGTAATTTGTTCTTATATTATTATTATATGTATCATTTTATGCTACATTTTTTATGATTTTTTTTTAATTAATAAGTGAATATGTACTTTCTTAAGGAGGATAAATTATTGGTATAATCCGACCCGTCAATATCCACAATTCATCGAGAAAATTGAAGAAGGTGACACTTATATCTTTAAAACTACTAAATGGAAAGCAATATTGGCATCTACAAATCGACAATTTGCACTTTGAGGATCATTATTAACCTGCAAACCAAGTTTCACAAGTGGAATGACAAATTCATATTGTTTTGTACGTTCTAAATTTTTGTTTATTTTTATTTAAAATTTTATATATTTAATTCAAAATAATAAAATCTGTTATGACAATTTAATATGATGAATTATTTTATATTTTTGTATATGTTATTGGATTGGTTGTTTCTATACAACCTATTCAAATGAAGATTGTCAAGGGAGTTCCTACCCAAATGACCGTCTTCTCTCTTATGCACTTAGAGTCAGAATCCTTAACATTATATATTCATATAGTTGATCTATCAGTATATATAAAAATTCTTTTGTATGTTTTTCTAGCATATAAAATGCCTTTTAAATTTTTTTGACATTGTGTAGGGAAAACATGACGTTTTGGGGCCAATATGTTGACCAATTGAATGCTTTTGAGCATCATTACCAAAATCAAGAAGAACATTTTGTCCTCAACATGCAAATGTACCGTGCGAAGGAGTGGGGGAGGTATATCATTAATTTTAATATAATTAAACTCAATAAATGACTCGACATTTTTTTGGTTTGATCGGCTAATTCATATATTTTTTTAATTAGGTGAAGTTCCAATAACCACGTCAAAGGATTACCATACTCATCGGTCTTGATGTTCCCAAGATTTGAGATTTTTGTATGAGGCAGATATCATTTGGTAAGGAAGTGTTTGATAATATGCAAATTTTATTTTCATTATATTTAGTAATTAGTAATGACATGATTTTTCATTAAAATTGCTTTTTAAAGTCCCGTGCATCCGGGTACTGTATTAGTATATATAAAAAAGTTTGATTATTTTTAAAATAGTAGTTGTTTCCCGCCAAAAAATCCCTAATTACTAATTATGGAAATATATTAGCCGCAATTTTCATATTTAATTCTTATGTTTTTTGGAACTTTTAATTTAATATGAAACAGATTTCTTAGCCGCAATTTCCATATTTAATGCTTATGATTTTTTGGAACTTTTTAGTTAATATGGAATCAGATTTCTGTTTTAATTTAAGATAATTCCTTAGCAAAACTAATTAGCAAAAATTTGAATATATTAAGATTCTGATTACTAGAAATATTGAATTATTATGGAATCAAATTTCAGTCTTGATTTTATAAAAAATTAAGTTAATTCCTTAATTAAAAAAATTAGCGTTCCATTTAGCTAAAAGTTCCTTTTTCAGTTCAAATATTGAATAGTTTGTGCGTTCTTTTTGTAATATTGAATTCACAATAGAAAATTAAATCGATGGTAATGTCATTATTTTGTTTAATATAATTTATTATCAGTTACTTGCACCGGGTTGTGTACTCATTTGAAATATACATATTTTATGTAATTCTGCATAATTTAAATTTCATGTGACATTTTCAATAAATTAATATAGGTAAATAGTATTGCATATTGATTTCATATTTTTAATTTATAAATATTATTTAATGAATATTTAATTTATAAATATTAATAATTATCTCTTACCCGTGCATCGCACGGGATTCGTACTAGTATTACTAAAGAGAAGATTCTCTATAAATAAACCTATGAAAATTTCCACTGCATTTTAATATCTTTTTATAGCATTTTTTTTTACTAATAAAAAATTAACATTAATAATATAATATGCTAAATATGTAATGATTCTTTTTTTACAAATATATTTTTACTGAATTCAGGTCTTTTCTATTTACTAGGTCACAATGTCGAAGTTTCTATAATCTACTAATATTAGTGTTTTTAGTAATTTTTTTCATCAAATAAAAATATCTCGTATATATTAATATATATACTTATCAAAATCTACACTTTTTCCTCTTTCTTGCGTAAATCATCAAAACTTGTTCAAAAGAATTAAAATAATTATATGATGAGTCCGACTTTTAGTAAAGTGCCTATAAGATGCAGGTTCAATCCCCCACCGAAAGGGTGGGTTTTCCCTATACATTGTCCTGTTGGCCGTTATCACAAGACAACTGAGGAAGCCATTCCTCGAGAAGACAGTAATAACAGAATAATTTTTACAGATCCACAGAAAAGTAACGAGGCATTTGGAGAAAAAACGAGAGTTCCATCACCCAGATCATATGCATTAGCTAACAGACACCCAATGACAAGCCACATAAGTCTCTCATATCAAGTCAGAATTCTTGGACAACAAAATATATCTACACAGCACTAAAAACATTCATATTTATATAGAGCCGATCATGATGAAACAAGGCAAAGAGAAGCAATAAGGGTAGAGTTCATAGTAGGGAGACATGGAAAACTTCGACTAAACCTTAAATNAAAACAAACCTATCAAAAAAATAACCGAACCGCACGGTTTGGCTCGGTTTTCAGTTTTATCACGATTTTTCTATACATTTTTATTCAATTTTGTGAGGGTTCGATACAAAACCGCACCCAACCGAACAAAACCAAAAACCGGACTTATAAAAACCTATAACTGCATCGCACCGCAATGTAAGAAAAAACTAAACCGAAAATTTTTTACATTAAAAAAACCTAAATATATATTGGTTTGAACCTCCACTCGTGAAGGACTGGATAGCCAGCGACGGGGCAATAGACCGCGGCTTGAATAGTTGGCACAGGGCCACCATCTTCTTCTTCCTCGGCAGTCAAAGTCAAGAACATCACCAAGGCCCTGGTCATGACAGCCCTCTCGACTTTCACAAGCTTATAACTGTGACCCTGTTGTAATTTGGACAAAAATTAAGGCTAGTATGATGTTCATGATTTGATGTGATAACATATCAAAGCAAAATATATTAACAAGGGATCAGAAACGCACGGTCTCTTCACCGATTTTCTGAATTGAACATTCAGCTGCTCCCACAATTCTAGCATAGACGCTTCTATCAATATCGCATGCACCCTGGCGCAACTCTTCCACTTCAATTGGTATGAAACCTCCAAGGTGGGATGCAATCTACGTCATAACCCTACAAAAATTAGAAGCAGCTCATCATCCATTTCAATCAACACAATATAGCCCTGCGATGGTTTTGATGCTTGTTGACTAATAAAATACACTACAACTAACAATCATATATACAAGTGAAATTACAAGCAGGACAGTGACAAATGATAATCAAAACCAATACTGTTGTAGTTAAATATCTTTTTAGATCAACTCTCAAATTCTGTATCAGCTAAGCTAATACACAAACATCCATGTATATAAACCAAAACAAAACAACCAACATAAAAAATATAATTAAACAAAATTAACGAGTATATAAACCAGATGCAGCAAAACAGAGCGCCCCAAACACATTATATTAAGGAGGAAAAAAAACAGGACCAATTAGGTGAGCAAAACCCTAATTATAAACAATCGAGAGTTAAACAAAAAAACAACCATGGTAGAATCAGTACGGGGACAAAGAAGGAGAAGAAGGATTTTAGGGATAGATACCCTGGATTCGCGGACTTGTTTGAGGAATCTCTTGACCAGCTCGATGGTATTGGGGCGAATCTCCTCGCCGGGTCGGCAGAAATAGGATTCAGGGACGTCATAATCGTTCTTTTCGAACCGAAACTGGCGCTTGTAGCGTACAAACAATCCCCACCTGTCATCGTCGAGAGTCGGGTCTATCACCATCGTCATTGTTACCCCGATGTTATGGCTCTCTCCTCTCTTAATTTAATGTTGTTTGAGATGTAGACTCTAATCTCCTATTTATAATTTCCCAATTATCTTTCTTTCCTTCTTTTCTTGCCCATTTACATTTTTAAGCTATGATTTTAAAATTATTCTGATTTTAAAATTATTCTTGCCCATTTACACCAAATCGATTGTTTTGGCATGAAAGTTAAGAAAATTTTAATTTTGGTTTTATATGGAAATATTGGTTTCATGTGGTGTGAGTATCGATTTAGTTACTAAATTTATGCTGTTACAGACATTATTTTCTGTAAAAAAAAATGTTGTGATAATCCATCTGTATTGGATTCAACTAGTACGAATCCCGTGCGATGCACGAGTAAGATATATTCATTAATATTTATAAATTAAAAATGCTCATAAAATAATATTTATAATTAAAAATATATAACCAATATGTAATGCGATTACCTAAATTAATTTATTGAAAATGTTATATAAAATGTAATTTGTGCAAAATTACATAAAACATGTCTACTTAAAATTGGAACGTCAATACACAACCCGTAGGTGTTCATAACTGATAATAATCACATTATATTTATTTTAAAATAAGTGTTATTTTAAAATATTTATTCAGAAATTCTATTTAACTACAATGTGAATTCATAAAATAATTATTTTGGTAAAATTTTATTATTTATTTATAAATCTATGTGAATAATAGTATAATTATAAAATTTATATTATTTAGTTAATTAGAAATGAATTTATTATAAACTATCCAAATAAAAAAAAAATTATGCAGTTGAATAAATAATTAAATTATAAATAATTGACAATTCTATAAATAATTGTTTAAAATAAAATTTTTCAAAACTGTTTTAAGTAACAAGTCCGTCCGTGCATCGCACGGGATGCGCACTAGTATAAATAATGCTTCTTGTTCGTTATGGGATTTTAAAGTATCATGCCCACAACAGTTAAAATTTCTCATATGTAGTGAAAAAAAAAATCATGAAATCATAGCTATAAAATCTTAAAAATTACAAAAACCATTGTAATCTTAAAAATCATAGCTTTAAAAAATTAATATAAAAACTTCTAATTATATATATATTTTTAAAATAAGTAAATTTCTTAATTAGCACACATCTAATGTAATACTACCAGTAACACAGTTATTTGAGGTATCACAACAATATCCAAACCAGGTTTTGCTTCAAGTAACAGCAAGTAGATCCATACATATGACTTATGGTTACAATATTCATAGACACTGATCAATAGATCCTATACACTCCTTCATAAACCCNAAAAAAACAAAAGAAAGGAAAAAAGAAAGATTTGATTGGAAAACTCGACAGGGAAAAATCACGAGTGTCGCTACATCAAATCAGGATCGTCTTCATAATCAAAATCAGCTTCACTAGACTGCCTTCTCTTTGCCTCCCTTGCCACTCTACCTTTCTTCGGTTTTCCACTGCAAAATGTTTGCGTAATCTTAATACAAATAAGCAATGAGCCAAACTTAGATGGATCGTCAATCACAAGTATAGGCTAAAAGATAGCTATATACCGGTTAATTACTAATTAACCTCATGGTTTAGCCTAATAACAAGAAATTGTTTTTACAAAACTGTAGTTAGACTAAGAAACCTCATGTAGGTTTCATAATTATCCATTATAAGCATTACCAATGTAATTAAAAGGAAAGACGAGAGAAGGACCAGCATTTTTTTAGAACTACAAATACCCTCTCTAACTATGTTTAAATTTTACAAATTGCGCCATATCGTGAAATGTTCTGTAAAATCAATATCAATCTGAAACAGGGGGAAAAGTGTTTGTAATTATCTCTATTAGCTTCGTAATTGTCTGTAACCTCTATTAGCTAATGTTATGTTACCATGAATCATAGAGGACAATCTTAATATTGAGCGTTTAACAGAGAAGATAAATGAAAAGGGAAGGAAAAAAGAGGAGTTGAATACTTACGGTCCGTTTGCTGAGACACCACCATCTCTAGCAACTTCTTCAGCCTAAAACATACGATTAATGGGAGATCATAAAAATGATCTCACATTTCCAAGTTGAAATTATTAAGCTCCAGGCAATGTAATAAAATACAATCCAAATAAACGCGATAGTGTTCTAAAATTTCATAGCATTGAGCAAATGCAATGGAGGTAAGACAACGGTATGAGAAGGAAAATATAATCATTCTCAATAGATGCATTCTATACCCACAGTGTCAAAAAACATAAGCATGAAACTATCGTTTTCCATTCTTTTAACTACCATAAGAGTTAAAAAAATTTGCCAATCAAATCAGGCATGATTAGGCTCAAGAAAATACAGAACTCGAGCTAGTAAAATCCATAGATCATAAACCACCACCAAATATATCTACTTGATATGATATTTTCAAATTATATTGAACAATTATGTGCTAGAAGCCTAGAAGCACATATAGAAACTCGTACAGCTGGAGACGTGACAGAAGATAATGAAAAGAGCCTGTCTTCCGGTTGAAACTTCCGGGATCTTCTCAAGCTGCATTTGAAAGAATGTAAATAACTCATTCTTGGATCATGTCAACAGAGGATAAAGAAAGTAAACTAACATTTTCAGAAAACATAAAACAAGATGATGTGCAAGTAATAAGCAAAGCATGGATTTTAGTACACCATCCCCAGCAACAAATTGTGCACTAAATGAGGTAAATTAAACATAAAATCCGAACATGTATTTCCAAAAACCCGACAAACAAGTGAAATTTAAAAGGTAAAACCAGCACAGAAAGAAAACAAAAATTACTCACAGTGTAGTGTTCTTGGAGGAGGACAAGAACCCCTCAAAACCTTTCAAGACATTGCCACATTGACTTGGGTCCTGTAAATAACTCGTTTCCATATCATATACCTACTCAGAGAAGAACATAGTTGATAGTTCATTCAAGAACTATTACATTGTAAGCAGTTATATACTTGCCCAGCAGACCTTAAAAGAACAAAAAAAAAAAAAAAACCCCATCTTTTTTTCCACCTGTTTTTCAATATTCCGGAGTTCTTCGTGCAGTTTAGCCCTTTGACATAGGAGGGCATCCAGCATTGCCGAGGGGTTTGAAGAAATTCGTTGCCCTAAATAAATTTGTCAAGAAACAGTACCCAAAAAGAATACATATTGGAAAAAAACAATTTATGAAAATCGGACAAACTATGAAAGCACGTACGCAAACGTTGGCATACCTTCGGAATCCATGTTAAAGAATTAAGATTTAAGGTTTGTGGGCGATGATCAGCTTTGTTCTTGCTGCGTTTTTCTCTCTTTTTTCTGTTGTACCTGCGATCAAGAACCGAGGGAGGAGGCACGATACGACGACGTTTGGATTCGTCTCGACGTGACACCAGCCAATAGGCTACTTTGTCCCGCCACTCTATAGACTAGACGTGGCCAAATTTCGGGCCGTACCTATTTACGGGCCGGGCCAGGCCTGGTCTAAAAATTTTTGAAAACTATTATTGATTTTATATGTTCAAAATGGTCGACCCTAAATCAGCCCCGTTAAAATTTGGGTCGGGCCGGACCATTGACCACGGGTCTGATCAGGTCGGGTCGAAGGCTGGGCGGCCTATGGCCATGTTTACTATGGAGTGTTGTTGACCCATAATTTGAAACTTGAATCGGAGACAGGTCTGGATTCATGCTTATCTCTGAGTCACTGAAGTTGGGTAATAATTAAAAAATTAAATTAAATATATTATTTTTATCTTATCAATATAAATAATTTATATGTAAATTTTAGATCTCGGAGTTTTAATAATATTTGTCTCATTGTGCCACGGTTGAAATTGTATTACCGAGTCATTGGTAGTTGAGTAATAATTAAAAAATAAATTAAATATATATTATTTTTATCTCATCAATATAAATAATTTATATGCAAATTTTAGATCACGGAGTTTTAATAACATTTATCTCATTACAAATATTTTCACCATATAAATATACATATATTTTTTAAAATATAATGATCAGGGCAAATTGGATTAACCGACCGATACAAAGTTGAGTCGAATAAGAGTCTGAATGACCCACCAGACCCTATATTGATCCTGGGTCGATTGAGTCCCAGGTCAACCCGTTGAGCTGATCCTGGTTAAAAAAAAATTATGCTACGCAACAAGGAAATCTGTGAGTTCACTATTCATGTAAAATGATACTTTTCACTTGTGCGATTTTTTGGTCTTATATTATAATAATTTTTTTAGGTCATATATAATGAATTTATAGATGTCATTTTTAATTGATATATGATTTTATTAATTTTTAGTTAGTGTTAAAGATGACTTAATTTATTATAATGAAAAATAAAACTATTTATTTGATCTATTATATAAAAAAATCTAATAATAAGTATAAAAGTTATTATTTCAAATATATGTATTATTTAAGTTGGCCAAGTATTTTATAATTTTAAAGCCTAAAAATGATGACATGATATACCCATACCATAAAAAGCTTGCACTATTAGAATGAAAAATATATATTTTTTTAAGTTATATATATATATATATATATATATATGTATATATGTAATAATTTTGAATTTTATATGCCACTATGAGTGTTAAATTGTTATTTTTAGTATTATATGCCCACACCATGAGTGTTAAATTGAAACAATTATAAAATATTAATCAATAAATTATTTTATATGTGAAAAGTTATAAAAATGACCAATAGATATTAAATTTTATATATAATCAAAATATTTATATTTAATAATACAAAAGAAAGGATAACATATATCTATAGAAATTTTTTCTTTAGTATTACATAGATATATATATTTATGAAGGTTATTATCATTAACAATACATAGTTTGCATGACAATTTGATAAAAAAGATGAATAATTTTTAAATTTAAAATAAATAATATTTAAATATGTCTCAAATGAGTAATAACCCAACAACTTTACGCTATTTCAAATTTTGTCTTTTCTTTAAACATAAATTATTTTATAACATTTTATAATTTATAATTAGTTTCTGATTTGTTTAATTTATAACATATTTATGTTAATTTGAACATAATTGTAGATTTTCAATTTAAATATCCATAAGTGTTACATAATATTAGATTATTTTGCCAAAAATTTTGACTTTAATTGGAAACACAAAAGTTTTAAATAAATAATAACATTTGATGGATTATTTAAATATATCTAATCATAGGCTTCATTCTCTTTCGTATATAGATTCGATAAGTATATTATATAAATTTTAATTGCTATTATATTTTAAACTTATAAATTTAAATTATTATTATTTAATAAACTTATAAAAAATAATTTTTTCGTAGTAGAAGCTCTATTTTAATAAACTTTGGTATTCTAAAATCTAAACTCATATATCAAATTTATTTGGTATATTTTTATTGATTAAATATTAATTGATTAGAGATCTAGTTGTTGGATTTTTATAAAACATAAGTTTCCCAATATAGTTATGAAGAATCCGACATAATATATAACAATTATCAATAGAAGTCTTGAATCATCAGGATTGATTCACATGCAAAACTCCATGAATATATTGCTATAGATAAAAACTCGATCTACGGTTTGAATAACATCAGTTCATCACATTCAAATAAAACTTTTAATTTCATAATTGTATTTTTATTTTATATTCTAGTTTTGAAAATTCATCGGCTAGATATATATGGTCAAGCACAGTCAAGTAATGAGATATACTAAATGTGATTAACATACTAAGTTAAACTTTGATTTACAAAGTATGTATATTTGAGCAATCAAACATTAAAACATTGATTAAGATGAAATTTGAAGTAGAAATAGCGTATATTTAAGCAATCCAGCATTAAGGTGATTGGATATAAAATATTTTTATTTTATTTGGGTTTATTGAAAAAGTAAATTATTTTTTTAAAAAAAAAAGTTAATTGAGTTGAAGTTTGAGTGAGATTTTAATTTGGTATTTAAATAATATTTAAAAAATAATAATTAATTGATGTGATATATTATGATATTATTTAATTATATTGATAATATGGAGAGAAATTGAGTTGAAAAGAACTTATAATCACGCCGAAAGTGTCAAAAAGATATATATACAACGTAGAACAACTTCATAAGAATATTCTGGCATATGCCCCAAAAAATAGTACATTTATAACAGAATTATATTTCGTCCATAATATATCTAAAGTTATACTCCTATTTACATAATAACATTAAGCAATCCACATAATTTTATTCAAATACGACTTTAATCCCAAAACATAAAATAAAATAAAGTTAAAGGTAAATTGGAGAAAAACATGGGAAAAATTTGACCGGCGCCAGATGATCAACAGAAAAAGAAGGGAATATACCTGCAAAGATGCCACATGGCCCATATATAAATCTCCCTCAGATATTAATTACTACTATTATTATTCACAAACCTCTCTCTAATTTTTCCTCGTCTGCCTGAGCAAAGCAGGTTGGTCATCTGTTCAAGTTATTTTGTATTTTGTTTTGTTTTGTTTGGATAACAAATTGTATGACATAACCATGTTTTTACCAATTCAAATTCCTCTGTTTTTGTTTGTTTATGTTATATATGTATCTTCTTGTTTTTTATTGTTGTACATGTCTGTGTATGTATCTTTTGTGGCATCTTGTGTGTTTCTTGTGAAAAGGTTCCAAACTTTTTGGAATTCTGAGGGTGCCCTTTTTCTTGCAAACACATATTTCATTTGATAATATAGTTATTAGCAAGCACCTGGTGTTCGTTTTCTTAAATTGCTGTACATGTGATTGTTACATAGATTTTGTCTCATCTTGTCATGCGGGTTGATGTGTTTTTTCGTTAAAGTTCCAAACTTTTTGGAAATTGTGAGGTGCCCTTTTTCTTACAAATGAAAGTTATTAGCTAGAAATTGTGTTTGTTGAAACTGTGTTTGTTTCAATCTGTTCTGGTTGGGGCATTTTGCAGAAAGACTTACTTACCATTGATAGATTTTGGTTTTGTTCTTTCATGACTCATTAATCGTCTGTTCTTGTTAAAGTTCAAAACTTTTTTGAAATTGTGATGTGCCCTTTTTCTTAATATTTCATTTGATAACATATAGTTATTAGCAAACAATTTTGTTTTTGTTTCAAATCTGTTCTGGTTAGGGCATTTTGCAGAAAGACTTGCCGCCATTGATAGAAATTTGTTTTTGTTCTGACATGACTCATTAATTAACCATCTCTTCTTTGCTGTATGTTTGTGTTTATGTCATCAATTATGATCCCCCCATTTGATTGGTAACACATAATTCTTGATCTCCTTAACATCAAAATGTACACTTGTTTGTTTGTTTGTTAATTCTCACAAACTGTAATATAACACCACAAATTTCTCCCTTCTCCAGACCCAGAGAGAGAGAGAGGAGGAGGCAGCAGATCGATTTTCGATTTTCGAAAAATGGCCGACATCAACAACAACAACAACCTAAAGGTCCTAAACGCCCTTGACGTGGCGAAAACCCAATGGTACCACATCACGGCCGTCGTCATCGCCGGCATGGGCTTCTTCACCGACGCGTACGACCTCTTCTGCATCTCCCTCGTCACCAAAATGCTCGGCCGAATCTACTACCACGTCCCCGGCTCCCCCAAACCCGGCTCCCTCCCTCCCAGCGTCTCCGCCGCCGTCAACGGCGTCGCCCTCGTCGGAACCCTCGCCGGCCAGCTCTTCTTTGGCTGGCTCGGCGACAAACTCGGCCGCAAAAAAGTCTACGGCGCAACCCTAGCCCTCATGTGCGCTTGCTCCATCGCCTCCGGCCTCTCCTTCGGCTCCCAACCCAAATCCGTCATGGCCACTCTCTGCTTCTTCCGGTTCTGGCTCGGTTTCGGCATCGGCGGCGATTACCCCCTCTCCGCCACCATCATGTCCGAGTACGCCAACAAGAAGACTCGCGGCGCGTTCATCGCCGCCGTCTTCGCGATGCAAGGCTTCGGGATTGTCACCGGGGGCATTTTCGGAATGATAATGTCGGCCGTTTTCGAGGCAAGTTACCCGGCCCCGCCTTACCGGGTCGACCCGGTCAGGTCGACCCCCCCAGAGGCCGACTACCTCTGGCGGATTATCCTAATGTTCGGCGCCGTCCCCGCGCTCGCGACGTTCTACTCGCGGATGAAAATGCCGGAGACGGCTCGTTACACTGCGCTCGTGGCGAAGGACGCGAAACGAGCGGCCGCCGACATGTCGAAGGTGCTCAACATGGATATCGAGGCCCAGCCGGTCGAGGAGAAGAAGAAATACGGGCTTTTCTCGCGCGAGTTTCTCGCGAGGCACGGGATACACTTGCTCGGGACCGCGAGCACGTGGTTCTTGCTCGACATCGCGTTCTACAGCCAGAATCTGTTTCAGAAGGATGT